ATTGAGCCTGAGAAAACAAGAGGTAAAACAAAATGAGATGTATCCTTATAGCCATATCCTAATAGAATCATTACAGCCCTGGCTGGCTCCTGCCAGAGCTGGAGGGACAGAAAGTGATAACTAGATGGGGAAGAAACAAATCAATATGGATCACTGAAAACCGATTTAGAGCACTAAGCTCACTCAGACTTCTCTTGCATTTTCTCTTGATTAGGCTGGCAGAAAGTGAAGATGAAAATGTTAAAAGCTGACTTCAGTCTTCCATGCTGCACTTAGGCTGCACTGTCGTGTTAGAGTCCCTTTCCTTGCATTTCTGTAGATCAGGCAGAGTTCTGACAGCTGGAACCTGCCCACAGGGGCACAGAGGGTGTCCTCTGGCAGCTGACATTCTTGTCCAAGCCTGATCATAACATGATTTTATTTGAGTAGCTCAAGTAAATTAGCTGATGATAGTGCACAACAGCCTGGTTAGAGCAAATGAGGAATCTGCAAAGAAGTTAGGATTAGTATAAAGGAAAGAAAATACACTTGCTTTTGCAATGCATTTCTCTTTCCATTAAGAAGCAATGATGTTAGGCAGAGAAAAATCAGAATCCCTACCTGCCTATAACTGCTAGAGAATATTGAGTTGATAAAAGAAGGGGGGAGGGGGAGGGGAGGGAGAGAAGCCGTGAAAAAAACATTCCAGAAATGTAATTCGAACATATGTGGTCAAAAAGCAAGGTCTGAAAGAAGGCCCTAGGGTCAATATAACAGAATGGAAGGACTACAGAGTTTGGAACTTTCCCTGTGGCTTAAATTACAGATAGTTTCCAAGAGTTTCCTTAATAAAATTTGTCTAAGGAGAAAATATTGGTGTCAGTGAGGGGAAAAGCTCTGATTCATGGAAAATGGAAAAGAGAAAGGCAGCGTCAACCAGGAGTCAGTCATCAATCTGTGGCTTAGACAGAGTCTTGGCAAAACCCATTCTCCTGGTAGAACTTGCCTGGAGTAGAGCAGATTGATTTGACAGTCTCTTAGCCTAATAAATGCTTGACCCCAAGGTCTGCTGCATTCACTAAATTCACTATGCAGAGAGAATTGGGAACCAATCACCTCTGGGGAACATCCTGTTCCACAGCCCTCCCCTGCTAAAGGCCTTGACTGCTCTCAGCCTTAGAGAGATGACGAGATGGAAGCTGCTCCCACAAGAAGAAAGGTTAATCGACTACACTGCTGTTAATCAATCACCTGGAAAGATTCAGCACTTACAATAGGTAGGTCCCTCTTCCTGCCAAGAGCTTCCTGCATCTTAACCAAGGACCATCTCCAGCTTGAAGGATGAGTAACAGAAAGAAACACAATCCAGAGAGATGCCAGGTCTCTGATCTGGAGCCAGCTGAAGTCAATAGAAAGACTCCCAGTGAGCACAATGGGCTTGGATCAGACCCCAAAGAAAGACTTATTACCTAAGGTTTATTCTGCATACATGTATCAAGCTACTTTTAGTAGTGAAGGATCCTTGAAAAGAAGCAGATTCATCACACACTTTTGCCTTCCTGTGAAATCAAACTTCTACAAACCATACTGTGTCCCAGTTACCCTGGTTGTCAGATATAGCTTATATCCAGCAAAGGAAAATCACCTGCCTGTGACAGCACAGACAGACACCTATACATTTCAAAATCTCTAAGGAGCACAAAAAGAAAAAAAAAGCCAAACTGCTAACATTTTCCTGGCCTTTTTGTAATTGCTGCTAGCCAAAATGAGAACTTCCTCAGAAATGGAAAATTAGAACAATTTCTGAAAGAAAGAAAACTGAAGGAGTAAAAGTTAAAATACCCTGGAATGGAGAACAAGCTCAGTGATGAACCACCAGCAAGGTAAAGCTGACAGAGCCTGAGAGGAAAAAAAGAAACAGGAGAAAACCCAGGGTTAGAAAGTAGCCCTGAAGACTTCTGCAAATAGGTGCATTTAGCACCAGCATCAACTGATGACAAAGAAGTGACTGTCCTTGATGCATCTAAATGGAAGGAGGAAGTCTTACCCTCATGTTACAAATCCAGGCCCCTGTATCCCAGTGCAGCCCTTAGTAACACACCTGCTGCACCACACAGCCAAAAAAGCCACCTGGCAAAGAGCTGAAACCAAGACTCACACCTTGAGGACATCTATGGCTACAGGTACCAGTTTAGAGGTTATCACAGAGACTGAGACACATTTGCTCCTTCATGGCACTGCCCCTGGTCTGTTCTCACTACCAGTCTTACCCAAAGCAGACTCCTGGAGGAACTTCCACTGCCATCCACTCATTTTGCTGCCAGAAGTCTACTCAAATCCTGGAACAAAGCTGTTGGCTTGGAATTTTTGCTTTTGGAATAACCCAGGTTTTATTAAGAGGCAGAGACATGACAGACTGGTGCCATGGACTATAGCTGCTGTAGCTGATGAAGAAGTGCCAGATTCTCCAGAAGGCTGGAGAGCAACACAGATACAGTGGCTATTCTTACTCATCTGAAAGTTCACAGCACTACAGAGCATCTGAGCCTATGGGTATTTCCTCCTTATGCAGTGACAACAAGCAAGAGCCCAGTGAAACAGAATAATCTAAGGTGTGTTACATACATGATTTCTTCATGCTCCAAGAGTTGCTTTTCTCCAAGGACAGCTATCTCAAAAGTTCTTTGCCAGTAGACAGCTGTGGTTGTCAAAACCAATTTCCTCATCTTCTCACTGCTAGTTGAAAAAAGCCCACAAGACAGATCCTGCATCTACATCCAAAAGTAAGGACTAATATTTGATGACCTTTGTTCCTTTGGCTCAACTGATAAAATAACCAGCACTGCAAGCAAAGTGAGGCAGATATCATTAAGGAGTGAAAGTATCTATCTATTTCATATGGAAACCTGACAAGAAATCCTACATACAGAACAAGAACTAGAATTAATAGATACAGCAGCTTCTTCCCAAAAAACTTTGATATGGCAGCCTTATAAATCTGAAGATTTTGGCCAACTCCACAGATATATGTCATGCACATTGCATCAAAATACATGGCCCTCTAAGTTGTACTCTGCTGTAAGAGCCTTGGATTTGTTTTGTTTATAACCTTTGTATCAAAATAATGTCAAAAGTTAACATCCTGTTAAGATAAATGGAGATGCTCTGTCTCCAGGTCTTGTTGATATTACTGCAGATGCAGATTCATGAAAACTGTGCCTTATTTTCTCGTGTTTGAGACCAGATTTTTACAGCCATAACTCCTGTTTTGGAGCAAGACTGTTATTATCTATAAAACTGCAGCACCAGCAGCAGGTCGTGCAGTGTTTGTGATTCCAGTGGCATACACAGAACCACACTGCCCTGCCATTCCCCTGCCAGGGGTGGATCCCACTGTAGCCACAAAACTGACAAGAGAGCCACACAAAAAGTGATGGATTTCACCTATTGACTATTCATTTTTTAACCCAGAGTGGATGAGCATAAGACACCTGAAGCTCAGGGCTAATGACCTGAAGTGAAAAAAGAAAGGTTACTGCCTGATCAATTCTTCCTCGTGTCGTTTGGAACAGTGTCCTACAAGGCTTAACAGCACAAACTTGATCAGCACCTAAAGACAAAATCCCTTCTGTCCAAAAGAAATGGAGAGATGGGTGGCAGAGAAACAGAAGGGAAACTCTGAGTGCTCTTTTCACCCAAGTGACATCTGATGAATGGTCCACAATATGAATTTATTGAGATATAAAAACGTCTTATTTACCTTTATCATCGCTCCCCAAAAGTGTTCACGCCACAAAAACCCACAAAATTCCCTTGAGCCACATATTTAAAAATCTTGCAATTTTATTTGCATATAAAGGCCGCTAGATATAATATCACAATAAATTTAAAGAAACACCTGCTTTTCTAAATTCCATTAACAAGGTAACATAAAACAGAACAAAGCTCAATAGCATTTACAGTGGTGGAACAGAAATAACTATCTTCAACAATATTTTGAGAGATTGCATTTACACACAGTGCAAAATAAGAAAAAGGAAATAAAAAAGACAAGAAGAATATTTAAATATAAAGGACAACTAAGCCTTATTTTATTTAGGCTTGATTGTATCCATTTGACTCTATACATGCCTGAACTACAACAAAGATTTAACTCGGGCTCTTGAAGGCCTTGAGCACTTGGAAAAATGTGTCACATCCTTCATAATTTAGATGTGCTGTACACCATAATTTTGCCGATGCTATACTGGCAATATTAAATCCTAGCTTAGTTATAATGCACAAAAAATACATATATATATAAATTCATATTTAAAATGAGTCCGCATTTACAATTTTTTTTTTTTTTACTGCATGAAATACCTGCTCTTTGCAGCTTTCACCCCCAGTCTTTTAAAGCTAAAATAATTTAAAAAAAGAAACAGAAGGTAGATATCACATACAGGCTGTGGCTATCTAGATCAGTCTTTATAAAGCAAGTAGAGACAAACAATTGAGAAGTCTATTCTCCCCTTGCTGCATTCCACTGTGAATAGAAACAAGTTTAAGTAAATGCACACATGTCAAGAGGTAAATGGACCCCAAAACATTGTTTGTGCTACTAAAAAAAATGATATAAAAGGAGATAAGAAGTTAACATTTAAACCTAGGGAAAAAAGAAGACACTTAAAAAACCCCCGACAATAACATAAGTTGTGCAAATTTGGGTGTATTTAAATGCTGCCTATTTTTTAGCTTATAATATAATATTAAAATAAGGTCTCTCACTTATTAAAAGAAAGCTTGGCTGTCCTTTTGAGAATACTATAACAATTTACAATGGCAAATTTATTGAAAAACAAAATTCATTTTACAAATTCACAATGCTTTATCAATTTAAAATGAATGCTGCATTTCCAAAAAGCACAACCTCTAACTTTTCTTCTTGTTTCTTTTGCACCAGCAATTTACAAATAAAAAGAACAAAAAACCCCAAACCCCACCCCAAAACAAAAACCCCGGCTCCCCCAAAATCCCCCCCAGCCCCTATTTTGAAATAAACGTGTAACTGAATGTAAGTTTTGTAATTAGAAAATGGCAGTTTATAGACCTTCCCCAGTAGTGCTTCAGGATCCTTGAGGGGTTGGAAGGTCGAAGATGATGGGAGGGTTGGTGGGCTGGAAGCTGACTGTACACGTGGAGGCGTTGATGTAGGTGGTGTAGCCATCGGTCATGATGCCATAGCCTGGGGGGACAACGGGGACACTCACTGCAGGGACACACAGCCACCCCACACCCCACTGCAGGGACACACAGCCACCCCACACCCCCCTGCAGGGACACACAGACACCCCACTGCAGGGACACACAGCCACCCCACACCCCACTGCAGGGACACACAGATACCCCACACCCCACTGCAGGGACACACAGCCACCCCACACCTCACTGCAGGGACACACAGCCACCCCACACCCCACTGCAGGGACACACAGCCACCCCACACCCCTGCAGGGACACACAGCCACCCCACACCCCTGCAGGGACACACAGACACCCCAGTGCAGGGACACACAGCCACCCCACACCCCCCTGCAGGGACACACAGCCACCCCACACCCCCCTGCAGGGACACACAGACACCCCACACCCCACTGCAGGGACACACAGATACCCCACACCCCACTGCAGGGACACAGAGATACCCCCCTGCAGGGACACACAGCCACCCCACACCCCAGTGCAGGGACACACAGACACCCCAGCGCTGCTGGGGACCCGTGCTGTGCAGCAAAACCAAACCAGCCCCTTCAAAAGGACACCAGCCCCTTCTGCTCTCCCTGCCACAAAGGCTGAACTGAAAAAAATCAGCGTTCTTGTGTCAGACAAGAACAGAGTGCTTTTGGTTCATGTACAAACTTTTTTCGCCCCTGGAAAATCCTCTGTTGCAACTGGGTGGGGCAGAAACAAACCACACATGTTCTTTTACTAATTACTTAATTAGTGGGCTATGGTTTGCATGCCTGTCATGTCTGTCAGAAGAAAAAGACCGTCCAGAAACAAAATATTTAGGAGTAACTTTGGTTTAGCCTAAACACCCCCCTTTCCAACAAATGACCTGAACTCTGTCCTGTCTCCTGTGCCAGCCCTTATCAGTCAGTTCTCATCCTAGCACTGCCAAGCTGTGCTCACACTGAGACCTCAGGAACTCACCAGCAGGTTAGAAACACACTCAGGCTGGCCAGGGAAGCTGTGCTTGCCTCATCCCTGAGTGCTCAAAGCCAGCCTGAACAGGGCTCAGAGCAACCTGGTCTAGTGGAAAACGGCCCTGCCCATGCAGAGGGTTTGGAATGAGCTGATCCTTAAAGACCCTTCCAATCCAAACCATTCTATGATTCCATTATTTAATTTATATATATATTTTTAAAGAATTTTATAAAAGTGCGTGTGTTTTAAGCTGATATCCACAAAAAGCTAACAAAGAAGCTTGAAAATGTCTAGGAAGTATTTGGCCCAAATGTACTTAAAAAGAAATAATTGAAAAAAACCCCAGAGTTTCATGGAGGAAGAAAGCTTCCCACTGCAAACCCTCAGAGGAAAAATGTTTTTCTTTCAAGCCATTATGATACAGTACAGATCACTGCTGTCTGGAAGCTAAGATAAATACAGCTACCCACAGTGCCTATCAGAAAGAATAATCACTTCAGAATTGCTGCACTGTCCACCTCTATTACTTTATTTATTTAGACTGGCAATTTTGATTTAGATCATCTCATGGAGGGAAAAACCTTATTTGTGGTTGTTTTGTTTATCAACCAGGGGAAAAAACCTGCATCACCAAAATGTGTGTATAGCCTCCACTGGCTCATGGGAATGTGGTGCATGTTCATCTCAGCTGGAGTTGGATAAAAATGAATTGCATTGTAAGATAATGCTCTTAACTTTGCTATTTCTTCCTGTACTGAAACAAGCCATTCCTACACCTTCTGTGTAAGTACTAGAAAGGATTTTAACTTTTTGTTGGTATTCTTACAAGAATTTATTTGAATGTTCACTGTTAACGTGTGCTGCCACTTCCCTTGCAGATTCAAATGTCGGGTGCTGCACATGCCCCTGGTGCTCCCTCATAATGATGGTCTGGTGCATTCAGACACCCTCCTCTCCCCCCTTAGCACCATTACAAGCACAAGTCTCACCACCCTATGTGCCTACAAAGGCTGTACACAATTTACACATTTTAATTGGAAGTCTTGCTATAATAGCTTAATATGCAAGGACTAATATTTGTACAAAATACCCAGTCTTTTCCTGGGTGCCTTATTTATTTATGCCTCTGTGCAGAAGGTCATGTCAGTATTCCCAGTATAAACTCTTTATTTACAGATGCCAAGCATGGAAATCATTGTATGAAGTCACGAGGGCTTCAGAAAAACCAACACCACTGGCAGAGAAAGCTGTCCTTTCTTTTATTTTTCTTTTATGAAGTCCTTGAAATCTTTAGGCCTATGGAGAACCTGGTTAGAGACAATGGAGAAGCCTCCAGGGGCGAGAATATAAAACATTTAATGTGTAATTTTGAGTTCTAGGGTCATGAAGTCTTACACTCTCTCTCAGGCAGAACTCCTAGTGTTTGTCTCTCAGCCACATGAAAGCTACAAAACTGTATTAAATATTTAAGTATCTCCAGAATGTATTTAATCTCTCAGTCTCTTCTACTGCCACAAACTGAGCTCATTGTTGCTGAAGTTTCACACTCTGCCTGTCCTGGCACTGATGGAGGGGGAATATCTCTTCTAGAACATGAGACTCCTGGACAGACACAGAGAGCACAGACTGCATCACAGAAATGTGTGCACAGTGAGTTCTGGCTCCTCCTCATGCCTGGCTCGAGATGCCCTCCTTTCTGCTTCTCCTTACACCCTGAGGGAGGTGAGCAGAGGCAGCAAATTCTCTCCACATTTTCTTTTTTTCTCTAGCATCTTTCTTAGCTCCTGTACTTGGAGTAATGGGGATAATTTTCATTTTGGCTTGCAAGTGTGGGGAATCTCATCTGTTTCTCTAACCAAGTTTGTCAAAATTTGAATTGCTTTCAAATAACCTGTACAGAACAACCTTTGCACAGTGAAAAATGTAGGTGGCTAAATGTAGCACACATTCCTGAAACAGTCTGTTTTAATTCTGGAATAAATTTACAAAGTGCCACGCATGCAATCACTTCCCTGAACTCCCTCCCTGCTTTAATCCAATATGCCATTATCCACTGCAATACACCACCAAAATGTGCTTCTTGAAATGAAGCAGGGAATAGACTGCTCTTACCTTCATGAATGCCACCAAAGACGTGGAGTTTGGGCCTTACTCGCCTCTGCACTGTGTTCAGCAGCTCCACACAACCCACTCTCTGCAGCTCCTTTGGAACCCAATCTCGAAAACCTGAAGGCAAAATGCAATCAATACTATTAATTTTCCCTATTCAGGTAAGGTTTCATGTAGTCTTTCAGGAAGTCATAATTCACACAGGGTTTATTACATTATCTCTAGTCATAACCTCTCCATTAAAGCACACAATGGCTTTTAAGAAATGTTTCACAGTCACTTTGTCTTCCTTAAGATTTCCTCCCTCCATCTACATTAATATTTTTCTGGATGTGATTTGTTTTTTTAAACTATAGGTTTAAACTCGTCTTCCACCTTGAAACCCTGGGACATTTATTCCTGGCACTGCTGAAGATTTTCCTTCCTTTTCCCCTGGCTCTTACAGCAGTCATCTTCCCAAGCCAGCTCTGTGGTTACTCCAGACAAGAAACTGCTCAGGAAGATGAGCTGAGCTACGACTCAGTACAGCTGCCACCCCAAAGATTTAAAATACAGATTGCCCCAGCTTCCAGAGGACCGTGGTCTGCAAGCATCAGGTTAATTGTGAGCCCTCATCCAGCCTCAAGCAATGCAAAAATTGCAAAAGAGCTTCCAACAAGCCAGTGCTAACTTATGGATAATACAGAAAAATGCACAAAAGCTGACATCAGTCCCTACAGGAGCCTGCTGCCTGAAGGAAAAGGATCAGCAGGGCAAGAGAAGCAATAAAAGGGAAATCGGGAGCCATTCTACTGACTTCAGCATAATTACAGCCTGTGCCAAGTTAATCCCAGTTAGTAAAAACATTCTGGGACATGAACTTGGATAAATTTTAGAGTGACCAAAGAGTCCAGTTACAGCTCTACCTCCCTTAATATTAATTAGTAAACATTTATTTAAAAAGCAGTATTTTGTCAATATTACCATGCAAGCTGAGACCTAGAGCCCCTCATTTTAGGCACAGTACTGACACCTAATCTGTGGCTGTAGTTAAGATACAGTGCCAACGTTTTGAAACTGAACTTCATTATCTCCTTCAAACACAAAATTTAAGCATGGTTATTCAATTACAGCACTCATTAGTGTCTGCAGCATCACAGTATTTCTGTGTGAACCCAATTCAGAGCAGATGGATGAACAACCCATTTAAAAGAGCACCCATGAAACATTATAAACACACTTGCAGGGTTTTTTTTTGCTTCTTTGGGAAAATTGAGCGATTAAGAGAGTGCAGTTCAGGGCCCTGTTTTGCAATATCCATGGCTCTGCTGTCAGGGGATGCTGTGTCACTGCCTTAACACAGCAGCACGCTGGGAGCTCCAGGAAGATTAAAGGGAATTTGCTGATCATCTTATAACATTCTCTAAGTAGTATTAAAAAACTAACCAGAATATAAAAGAAACAGTAAGTACATTGGTCAAAAAGTTTCTGGATTTCTTTTTTTCCTTTGCTTGGCTTAGATTGCTGACTCTTAACTTAATTGTGGTAAAAAACATAAGAACACATTAATTCCTGACTCCATGGTCACCAAGAAGCTCTAAAATAACAATGAGCCAGCCTGCAAGCACATAAAATTCTGGTTTATAATGGCACCATGCAATTCTAAGAAGATTTTACATATTCACTACCATAAATGTAGTAAGTGACTGTGATTTAGTCACTTCCTGTGATTGTGTGCTCTGACCCCTTGGATTGCAAGTTTACTAAAACCCTGACAAAGTCACTCTTCTTACAGCAAGGGCAACGAAGAGACTGCCACACTTCCTCATCCTGGTAAGTCATATTTATAAAAGGCTCAGTTGTTGTAAATCCAACTGAGATGCTTAAAATACAGTCCCAGGCTGCTTGCCACTGAAGAAAAGCAGTAAATAAGAATACATGATGCTGCCTTGTGGGGCACAGGATGGAGAAAAAGGATAGCAGGACTTGAAAAATGGTTTAATGTGGGCTTCAATGACTTCAGATGTGCCAAAACTGAGTGCTGCTGTCTCTGCTGGATGAGTGTCCTGGTCTGAGACTATCAGAACTTAGTTTAGATATTAAGAGTTAAACAGAGATCAGAGAACAACTCATACTGACAAGACAAGCAAAATTCAACTAAATGAGAAACTTTAGCTACCTAATAAGAAACAAATTATGCATTCATAGACTGGTGCTCACCTGTCATTAGATCAAGTTAGGAACAATTATCTAAGAACATAATTTTATTCCTTCACAAATTCTTTATAAGCCAATTAATACCTTTAAAACGGTTCTTACATATTCTAAGTTTACAAGGACATTATCAAGGAGAATATGTGACTACACAGTTCCAGACTCTTGACTGCTACTCTCAAACCTTAAAATAACATGACACTGTAGTGAGAAAAGGTTTCAAAAGTTTCAGTCAATCTCTAAAAAGTCATATGGGATTGGAAACTGGCTGTCAGATGAATATTATTCTTAAATAAAATGTCAAACTATAATGGTTATGGAGTCAGATATTTGATCTTCCCTAGCCTGAATTTAATAAAAAAATCAAGTTTTTTATGGAAACTCAACAGATCAGCTAAGCCTAATCATAATTTTCCACTTCTTTCAGAAAGGTTTTTAATCCATAGCTTTTAGTTTGGGTGCAATTACAGTATATCTTACAGCATTATCAACTTTGCTTATCTTGAAAGTAAAATTCTTATGCAAAAAATCACACAGAACTTTTGTTTCACTTACCAAGGGGAGGTCCATGTGTCATTAGTATATCAATTCCCTCAGGAATAAGGTTCCACTTGTCTAGCAAAGACTGACCTCTGGGTAGATTAAAGCCCCATCCATTAAACCATGGTGTCCTTTGGGGAAAATAAGACAAACTGCATCAGTGTAAAATAAAAATCTCTTCCCTTCTCCAATTTTTTTCTGAATTGAAACAATTTCTGTGCTTCAGAGATTACCTGCAGACAGCCTTTCTGAAGGGGATGCCTCTAACACACACTGATTCAGATACACACATATGTTAAAATAGACATTTGAATTTAGATTCATGCCTGTTATTTTTGTTATTTTGTACTTCAAGAACATTTAGCCCTGGGGGCATTTACTCACTAGAGAGAAAGGAAAAAATACTAAAATAACAAAGTCTTAATCTCAGCTTTTTATCAAAGTTTAGGAACGTTCATACATAAGAACTCATTCCCTATGCTAACTACCAAAAAAAAAAATTTTTGGAGGCAAAAATCAGCTTCTCCCAGCACAGGGCAGCAGTAAAAGTTCAACATGAGGCTCGATGTGGCAGCACCACCTGTGCCACAGCATTTCACTAAACTCAAACTTGCTCCTTCTAGCACTTTTAATACCAGAACAGCATCACCCAACTGGGTTTTGAACTCCTGAGCCTCCTAGAGATCCCCACCACACAGTGTTTAGCCTCAGGGCAACTTTTTAAAGATATCTTATTATTTAAAATACATTTAGTATTTCTCAAGGAAAACTGATAGCCTCAGAGTTCTCCAGCATAGCAGAGTTGTTCTGAGACACTGCTTTATCCAACCCAAGCATGTAGCAATGCCAAGTATATTTTCTAGGAGTACTTTTTTAACATATAACTTTTTAAACACATAATATATAATTTTGATACAGAGATATAATAATAAAGCATTTCCCTATCAAATAAGTACACAAAACTGCTCTGATGGAATACAGGAATATTTTGATTTGTTACCAATACCCTTTTATACAGCCCTTAATATTGTAGCAATTTTAAGAGTTTGCATCCATGTGTGTGTTTCCTAGAGCTCAAACAACAGTTTAAGACTTTGTTTTCTAGGTAGGATACTCCTGTCCTAGCCCTAGTCATATTTCTGAAAGTTCAAGCTACTCCTGAAGTCTTCTGTGTGCTGCAGTTCAGAAAACAGAAAACAAAAACTAGGGGCAAAAAACAACCACAAACCAACCTTAAAAACACCCATACCTGTTAAAAACAGAGATCATTAGTCCTATGTAATTTCATTATGTAGTCTGTCTCCTCTACCCACTAAATTATTCATTTTTCCAGCCCCAAATATACATTCAAGTGGCAATGTCTGCTGAGATTAGATCTCTAATTTTTAATTTTTTTTAATAATTAAAGCATTTTGTTTTCCTGAGATAACAATTTGCCCAGTGAGGATTGTACCCAGTCCTATGGATGATCTGCATTCCCGACAATGGGCAGTATGGAAAAACAGCAGGAGCTGCTAATATAGGGGCAGGAAGGTCACTGGTGCCTTTGTGACAAATAATAGACATATCCCATGTAGTCCTGCTGGATAACACTCATAGCACACACACAGGAACTCATTCAAGCTAGCAGACTTCCTGAATGAACAATGACAGAAGATAGGGAAATTAGATGTTAGTCAAACATTTTATGTGAGCTGTGGGCTCCTGGCGTGCTCAGCCACGGAGCTTCACCTCTCACAGCTCTAAAACCTTCCTGTGCTGTAAAGCAAGGCTGGGGCACCCCACAGGAGGCTTGCATGCAGCTGAATTAAAACTGAAGGTTGTGTCTTGGCTTTAACTAAACCACAAGAATTTCTGCTGTTCTAGGATTAGCTTTCCTGAAACACCTAAGTTTCCTTTCCTATAACATTCCTAGGTTTTAACTTATCAAGATCATTGTAACCTTCAAGGCTGCAGTCAGAAGTTAAAATATCTTTTGGCTAAACATTCAGCTGCTTAAAACAAACAAACATACAGAGCTTGGGTCAAACTTTTCACTGTCAATTAATGATGCTTTCCCCACTTGCATTTCTCCTGCAGATAAGACTGTAGTTATTACAACATAGTTAAACCTGAAACATGAAACCACATCTGTGATTTCTCTGGAGCTCTTTGGAGACTACGAGCACAGAAAAACCTGGATTTGTCGGCAGGATTTTTATTTTATTTTCTTCTGAAACACTGTGGAAAGAGGAGGAGGGGAACCTGAGCTCAGATATATTCCTCATTCACCAACCTCTGTAATTAGCTGTGACTAACTGGCGCCACATGGGAATCCACTTGCAAAGAAAACTTTTGAGAAACCTTCCTCATTATGCAGCATATGCACAAAAAAAAGATGGTCAAGTACTTATTTAATATACTAAAGATTTTCATACAAAATGGGTAAATCAAAGAGAAGAGCAGACATGACTGCAAGAACACCTGGATTACAGATTTAGGCTTCAGGCATTTAAAACATGGAACAGTGCATAATTCCTGGCAGCACTGCAGGCTGGCCAGGCAAACTGAGGGTCCCTGCCTTTTGGAGGGGGTTCAGGCCTTGCCAGAAAGCCAAGCATGTGTTCAGAACAGCAGCAGGAGGACAAACAGCTCCATGGCAGGGGCTCAGGTTGAGGTGGCATCACAAGGAAGGTGAGCTGATGTTTGCTGTGTTGCAGTGAAGATGAGATGAGATGTGTGTGCTGTGAATCCTGTGAGTGCACAGTGGATGGCTGGGTATCCCAGCAAAATTTAAATACCTGCAAGAAAGCCACAGCCTGCCCTGTAGGTAGGTAGTGTCCTGTCAAGGGGGATCAGAGAGGGATATTTTACTCCTGTTAGTGCCTTTTTTTGCAAACATAAGAATTAAATAGGGTCACTCTCAATGTCTAAACAATTTAGAAGAAAAAAAATTTGTGCACAGAGCTAGGAGCCTTCTGCAAAGTATTTTCATTACTTACTGTGAGAAACCACTTCCTATCTAGGAAGAAATGTAGATAATGAACTTGAGCTGCACTGTCATGGTTTAACCCCAGCTGGCAACCAAACACCACACAGCCCTTTGCTCATTACCTCTCACAGGGTGGGAGAGAGAATCAGAGGGGTAAAAGCACATATACCCACTCATGGTAAATTACAATCAAGCACAAGTAATTAATAAAGGCTACTTAGTTATTAGTAGCAATATTTCAGACTTGACCTAATTCTTTTTCCCACAGATTTCTAAGTAAAAGATTTCAGCTAATTCCTGAAACTTCTTTTTTAAGTGTAGATGGCAATAGCAGAAAGTTACTGGCTGTTGAATAATGCCACAAGGGAGGCATGGATGGAAAACCCACAGGCACTGGTGGTGAGAGATTACAAATGATTTTGTCATTTTATGTTTGCTGGACCAGAACACATCCTCACCCCCATGCCTGGTGTGTCAGCCCGTGTGCAGGAGAACCTAAGTGAGGCTCTGCTGGTCAGAACACTTCACAGCATCCCTCACATCCATCAAACCCTCACAGCAACTCCTGATCCCACAGCAACTCCTGATCCCACAGCAATTCCTGATCCCACAGCAATTCCTGATCCCACAGCAACTCCTGATCCCACAGCAATTCCTGATCCCACAGCAATTCCTGATCCCACAGCAACTCCTGATCCCACAGCAACTCCTGATCCCACAGCAATTCCTGATCCCACAGCAATTCCTGATCCCACAGCAACTCCTCCTGATCCCAGCTCACTGACAGCTCAGCCCTGCCTGACTGCAAAGCTTCCTGATCACTCAGGGAGAGCAGCTATGCTGGCACCAGATGTGACACAGGGAATATCCTCATGAAAGGCAGACACCTGGCCCATCCTTGCTGTCCTCAGTTCTTCATTTCTGCACAGGAATCCCCACAGATCCCCCTCCACCTGGCGTGTTGGAAGCTCTGTTTTCTGCAATTAAAAGAATGCTTATGCAGTAGGCTGCAAATTATCTTCACACCTTGTGCTGCAAGAGATGCAGACATTTCTTGACATAAGGCCAGGAAGGAGGGAATGTGAAGCTTCCCAACAAGACTCATCCTCCTTTTACAGGTGCATTGGGAGAAGCCCCGGACTGGACACACAAATCCATCTGCTTTGAACAGCAGAGAGCTGCAGCTTCAGCAGGTGATCAGATGTCCCTTCCCCCAGGTAAGCACTGTATGGCTTTATTATTGTACTAATACATTAAAAAACCCAAACTGACCCACAACAATAGCACAGCGATGGAGCATCATTTCATGACACAAAAAATCACAACTGCTCCTCGGTGCATTCACCTCAGAAGCAACACTATCACATGAGGAAAGGAGACACAAAGCCATAGCCAAATTCATCCAGGTAATACAGAAATGTCAACTCCTTCTGCTTTTAAAGGATGGTAACTCCTACAACCTACTTTCATCTCTTCTCTGACTCATGAATTTAATTACCTGATCCTCAGAGTTCAACGACTCAAAAGGTAAATGTACAACGAGACCTTCTCGATTCACATTTTCCTCTTAACTCCACCAGTAAATCCATTTATTTCAATAGTTACTTCTAAACTGGATTAGAAAAAATATATTTTCTCATAGGTCTTTATTCCCAAGTATTCATTAATTTTTAAGGCTACCCAGTCTTTTAGGAAAGCTTCAATTTTATCCTTAATCCAATGAGTAAAGTGCACGGGAGGCAAAAATCTCAATCTGTCTCCTTCCACAGGATAACAGCAGAGGGAGTGTCTAAAAGGCATCCCAGTGGGAAGCATTTCCACACACCCAGTAACAATAAGGAAATGTCTCTATTTTATCAGCATCCAAACCCAGCTCACAGACCTGGCTCACGAGGGAGGGAGACAGTCCCAGCAGGACAGAAATGGTGGGACAGGCCATGGATGTGCACCCAGACTCGTTCCCTCGTGGGACTGCCCCACAAACACATCCCAAAGCACCTGCTCCAGTCCAGGTGAAAGCTGTGGTGGGCTGGTGAAACCTGGACTGGAGAAACCTGGGCTGGTGAACCCTGGGCTGGAGAAACCTGGACTGGAGAAACCTGGGCTGGAGAAACCTGGGCTGATGAAACCTGGACTGGAGAAACCTGGGCTGGAGAAACC